CCACTCGGTCCCCTAAGTTACTAACTTGGGTGCTTAGCCAAGCCGCCACTCCCGTTGCGATCCCGCTTCTGACGACGCCATCTCGAAGCCCTTCCCTTTTTCTTCCTGTCATGTCGAGTTCGCATTGATATGGCCTCCGAACTTCGTCGCCGCGCAGTCGGCGCCGAGCCGCCCCTCGACTCCAAGTCACAAGCCGCGCGCGACCAGAGCCCCGTAAAGGCCGGCGACAAAGTCAAGATCATCCACCAACGCGATCAATCGCCCGCCCGCAAGAGGAGGAGTACTTTAATCTTCCTTCTCGGCAGTCTGTTCGGCCTGATCGCTGCCGGTTTTCTGGCCCAGAGAAATGACCTCATCGAACTCCCCGAGCTCGGCGAGCTCAGCATGGATAGCCTCTTCGACATGATGCCCTCGAGCTTCGTCGCCGACCTGAAGGAATTGATTGTGCGTTTCCCCAGCTTGCGATTGGCGCCGATGCCTGAACTGACGTGTTGATGGCTGCATGCAGGGAAACAATGAATTCATGGAGAGCTCCGATGCCTTCTCCGTCGGCGTCAAGGCCCGCGCCGAGGGCCTCGGCGTGCATCACCCCGTTATCATGGTGCCCGGCGTCATCTCCACCGGTCTCGAGTCCTGGGGCACCGGCAATACCTCCCGACCATATTTTCGCAAGCGCTTATGGGGTAGCTGGACCATGATGAGGGCTCTGCTATCTGATAAGGAGGTGTGGAAACAGCATATCATGCTCGACAAGAAGACGGGCTTGGATCCTCCGGGTCTGAAACTGCGAGCTGCGCAAGGCTTTGACGCGACAGACTTCTTTATTACGGGTTACTGGATCTGGAGCAAGATATTCGAGAACTTGGCGTCCCTGGGCTACGACCCGACCAACGCTTTCACCGCTGCTTACGATTGGCGTCTGTCATACGAAAACCTCGAGTTCCGCGACCAATACTTCACGAGATTAAAGAATCACATCGAATTGGCGCAACAGATATCGGGCAAGAAGGTTGTCCTTGCATCACACAGCATGGGCTCCCAGGTGACATTTTACTTCTTCCACTGGGTCGCCTCGGAATTCGGCGGGAAGGGCGGCGATGATTGGGTCGACAAGCACATCGAGGCATGGATCAACATCAGCGGCTGTATGCTTGGTGCTGTGAAGGACATGACGGCAGTCCTATCGGGCGAGATGCGAGACACTGCCCAGCTCAACTCTTTTGCCGTGTACGGCCTCGAGAGGTTCCTGAACAAAGAGGAGCGAGCAGAGATCTTCCGCGCCATGCCAGGCATGTCATCTATGCTGCCGATAGGTGGCGAGGCAGTCTGGGGCAACTTGACCTGGGCACCAGACGACCAACCCGGTCAAAAAGAGTCGTTCGGCTCGTTCCTCAATTTCCGAGATGGGGGCAATTGGACGGTTCCCAAGCAGAACTTCACCGTCTCCAAGGCTCTGGAGTATCTCCTGGACACCAGCGAGGACTGGTACCGGGACCAAATCATTCGCAGTTACTCTCAGGGTGTAGCTCACACGAGGGCAGAGGTGGAAGTCAACGAACTACAGCCACGCAAGTGGGTAAATCCGCTGGAGACCAGGCTTCCCCTGGCGCCCAATTTGAAAGTGTTCTGCTTCTACGGAGTAGGCAAACCCACCGAGAGAGGATATTATTACCGACCGCCCGACTTTCCTCATCTCTCGAAGCTCAACATCACCATTGATACAGGTTTGATCGTTGATGACATTGACCACGGAGTCGTCATGGGCGAGGGCGATGGCACTGTCAACCTCTTGAGCACAGGCTACATGTGCTCGAAGGGCTGGCACATGAAGCGATACAACCCGGCGGGGGCGAAGATCACAGTCGTTGAGATGCCGCATCAGCCAGAGCGGTTCAACCCCCGCGGCGGGCCCAACACGGCGGACCACGTCGATATTCTAGGGCGGCAGACACTTAATGAGCTGATACTCAAAATAGCGGCTGGCAAAGGCGACGAGATCCAAGAGTCGATCGTCAGCAATATTCGCCAGTACGCAGATAATGTGAAGATCGACGATGATGAGGTAGCAGACTCTTATTAATGACATATTAATGGGCTCCGGGTGGCGCATAAAGACACGGCTATGGAATAGAATTATACACATACACATACGCATACACACTGGCGGCGTTGAGGCTGTTTGAATATTGGCTGTCGATACCCGATCAGGGAGGTAATGATATTTATATATAGAAATAGACATTGTCAATAATGCTTATTTTACATTCTGCAGGTTCAATGTGTGTTGCTTGCCAGTTTACTACTGTTACATCCTTAAGGCTCATGAACACGTAGATCGACTGACAAACAAGTAAGTCAGGTCGCAAGTAATCGCTCAACAATGAAACGAAATCAAACATATCGTTACGCATATTCAATTGGTAAGAATGATTTTCTTTACGGTTTAAAGTGAAAAAATTTGGTGTAGTTCGCTGAATCTTTTGTGTTCACCCTCCTGCAGACTGTTGCGCTACTAGTTGATCATGACGAGGTGAGATTTGAAGGTGTAAGACTTTGTGCACGGGCCAACTGGGCCCAGGGCTGATTTGCGCCCTTGAACATTAAACTTGCCGTGGACTCACCCAGCCATATGCGCCAACGTAAACCATTCATGATTCATCTCACATCAATTCACCATTTACACTGCGTCTGTGCATCTCAATCTCAATCAATTGCGAAAATGGAGACCAACGGAAAAAGAAAGCACGACTCATCAGGAGCTCAGGGTTCTAATTTGAAGAAAAGCAAGGTATGGTTGGTCATTCATGCGTAGCTCACCAAGCCCTCGTCGCAAATCTCACTATTGAATCTACGCAATTGACTGACACCCACCATCCATATAGGGAGGCAATCAGGGGAAATGGATGACTTCAAATCACAAGGATAAGTTGGCTGCGATGAAGGGTCGGAATCTCGAGGTCGGCGATGCGGGCTTCTGGGTCACTTGTCAGAGGCAGAAGGAGATGAGGGCGGCCGACGAGATAATGTCTCTTTGCGAGGATGTAAGGCCCTCTCACCTATCCGCCCAGTCGCATCACTGCCATGCTGTTATGGATAGCGTGCACGCTCACAGGAAGCTTATCAAATGATAGTATGGCCAAAAATTATTCGGCATCGACCCCGAACCCGCCGCCCACGGCAGCAATGGCCAGGACCAGGAAGAGCCAGAAGAGATCGAAGCAATGATCGAGAAAGAGCTCGCCGACCTGCAGACATCCGCGGCGAAAAAGCCTAAGCAAGGCCCCTTCGATCTGCTGCGAATGAACGTCGACTGCGTCCTCTTCGTGCGCACACGCGCGCCTGTCGACCCGATGGTGCTGACGCGCGAGATCTGCAAGGATGCAACGAAGGCGAAGGAGAAGAGCATGTGGCGGTCGCGTTTCATTAACAAGCTCACGCCCATCACACTTACAGGGAAGGCTACGGACAAGGGCCTGGAGGATGTCGCAAGGAAGGTTATGGGGGAGCACTTCCAGCTCGCGGACGGCGAGGGTGAAGGAGAAGAGGGCAGTGATGGCAGCTCTTGTTCGGTAAGACGCCAGAATCTACGTGATGTTAAGAGGTTGCTATAGCGGGGCTTTGCGACACGTAACTGACACCACGTGAAAAAAGTATGCCATTCGTCCGACTATTCGATCGCATTCGACACTCAAGCGTGGCGAGATCATCGATAAGGTCGCCAGTATGATCTCGAACAGGCATAAGGTCGACCTCGGCAACCCCGACAAGGTCATCATTATTGAGATTTTTCAGGCACGTTCCAACCCCGCAACGGAGGGCTCCCTCCACCCACAAAGCACCCACTGACCTGTGTTTTCAGACATTCCTCGGGATGAGCGTCGTTGAGCGAGATTGGGAGGCTATGAAGAGATATAACATTCACGAGTTGTATGCAGCAGCCCGGAAATCGGCAGCCTGTGAGAGATCTGAAAAGCAGGCTGGGGGAGATTCAGAGGAGCCCGAGAAGAAGGCTGGAAGCGAGCAAGAGGGCGAGCCCTTGCCAGTAGCTCAATCTTAGGTACCTACACTTGGCCCCTTCACGGCAAAATGGGCACAAAACCACTACAGCTCCTGCACCTATAAAACACAGTGTGTGACCTGATGTTGGTGCTAATTTTTTTCTAAATTGTTGCATCAAGAAGCAGGTTCTTGTGCTAGGCTATGTAGCAGTAGTCCCTTCCTGTGGATGTGTGCACGTACGACTAAGTGCAGTGCAGTCTTGCCCGTGTTACCTATCATAGTATATTAAGGTATGCAGTAATCCTAAAGTAGGCGACTGGAAACAGGCCGCACTGACTGTGTGATAATCACATACAGGTTGGGTTGACTCCTGGTATCCGTTGCGTCAGTGTGCTTCTACTGGACAACAGTTGCTTTGGGACCAGTCGGCCAACTGTACTTCATAGGGACAAAATTAATACATCAAGGTGAAGCTAGTTTATGCAGGATCCCGTACCTATTGATCACCAATAATGTAGCTCTTGCGTACTCTCGTGGTTGTGGCACATCCCCTATCTCAGGCTTGCTGTGCATAATCTGCACTCGCTATCCTGGGTCGTACCATGTGCCCAGGTCAGAGTACCTCAACGTCTTACAATAGATCCTTCTCGCCATCACAAAATGCAATTTACTCTCCCACCCATCCTCTCCTCGACGCCGTGCTCATCGTTCCTCCTTTTGCAGTCTGCCTTGCCCAAGACTGCTCCTCCGCCTTCCCTCGTATTCTGTCCTGCCCCGTACACTGACATGACGACCTCATTTCTGCACAGCACATGCTACCTGCCAAATGTGACCGGTTTAAGGTTCACTCTCGCTGCCAGCCACGCAACTATACTTCTCGCACCGACCATCCCTCAAGGTATGCTTTCCCTGCCTTCCGCCGCTCTACTTTCCACCTGGCAGGCTTATATTCCAATTTAACAAGTCCCCTTGCAACGAAACAGTCTTGTTTCCTAGTGGTAGGCGCACTAGAGAAATGGCAACTCGTCGGCCTCCTACATAGGTCAGCCGAAGATTCCGGGTTCAAGTCCCGGGTGTGTCGGATTTTCTTTTTTCATCATCACCTTTCTCTTCTTTTCCCTTCCCCTATTCTTCTCTTCTTCCTCATCATCAACCTTGTCTTTATCTCCAATACCATAGAAAAAAATTCGGAAATACTATCTTTCGGCTTCTTCCAGCTCCTCCCCTCTCGATTTCTCTGCATGGGCATCGGCTTAGGTGGACAACACGTAGCCTACGTTGGACCTTCTCAGACTGAACACTCGATGAAAATTTTCACATTATGGACTTCATGTACTACCGACCTGGATTTTCCAACACTTGTCCTTGGAAAGCTTCTAATATCAGTATTTTGCGATATCAAGTCATTCGCTGGAGTGTCGACCCATGGGGACATCCATGGAAGGTACTAGTGTTGGCCCCCCCTAAGTAGGCATGTACAGGCCGGGCGCCTCCTAAGTAGGTGGGAGAAGCCCGACAAGCAGTAGAAATCGGCACCTTGCCCCTACTCTTCTACTTGACTTGATTCCCTTTGTCAAGTGCTTTTGCACCAGAGTGAAGGAATATAGCAGTAGCCAAAGAGAATAGTAGGGGTTAGGTGTTAATTCTATTGATTACTGGGCTCTCCCATTCAGTGGGAGCCGCCCAGCCCTTATATACCCAGATCTAGTAGCCCAAACAGCCCCCTACAGGTGAGCCCCTAGGTCATGGCGAGGCTCTTGCTACCATGACACCTGACACCCTTAGTCCGGCACACCTGCCCATGACACGGTATATATTGGTTCGCTGGTATCATATTGAACGTTTGAGGCGAGCTTCACCTTCGAAGTAACTATCTCCGGGCGATGCTGCATGTGGAGCCACGTATGTATTACGCTGCACTGATTTGTTGCAAGGTATACAAAATGCATGTTTTCGCCTCCTAATTATTCGTTGGCGCCGTCGCCTGAGTTCGTAGAATCCAGTCGTAAAACACTGCGTACTGGCAGTATCATTGATGATACTTCACGCCCCAGGAGGCAAAGCTTTCGGGTTGGTGTCCGTTAGAGGCGCTCTTTATATATATATGACTGTCAAGTTGTCCAAATTCACTTCGCGACGTGGCCGTGAGGAAAGCGGAAGGGGCACCTGGATGGGTGGCTATGCATCTGAGGACTATAGCCAAATGGGTTCCCACGATGGCAACATCTGGAAGTTTGCAAACTTTCACTGGCAGCTAGCCACGCGATAGATATGTGTGTGTGTGTGTGTTTTAAGGTTCCATTTATACCCAAGTAGCTGACGCTGGTCAAATCTGAGTTGGCGATATTTTATCTGTAGGATGGTGTCGTGACATACTTATTACTGCTGCACTTCTGTTTCGTGTAAAATAATGACAACAGCACTCTCCTACAACTATTCGCTGTCGATATACTAAAATTTCATCTGAGGATGATATGAATGTTGTTATTATTCGTGATGATATATTTTCACGTTGTTGGGGTTGGCCAGCTACTTTTCGCCTCCCGTCCGTTTACCCTTCTCACCGCCTGTGTTCTGCATGCCCAAGAAAGTGCAGGTGGTTTTGTTCTTACAATCCAAATATGTCGATAGAACTAATCGTACTAAGAAGTATGCGATTAGACGCGATTCAACGGAGTAGGCACCACCAATATACGAGGATGCACAACCAAGCCGCTATTAGAAAATTGAAAATTATAGAAGATGCCAAGCAATACTAAGGTATACTCGCGTGGCATCAACAGCTTGGGATAGAAAAGTCTGCTGCCGGAATCCGAGCCTGCATGACAGCCCGCACGGTACTTTTATGTATGTGCGTAGCCGGATTTTTCTTTTCAATCCTTCCCGCGGCGCTGTCTTTTTGGGTAGAACAAAATGTGCGCAAGCGGCAGCTTTGCCAAGACGTGGGCGCACATTAGACAGAAACGAAAGGCCGAGGTTTTGACACTTGGAAATGTGCTCGAATTTCTGCCATTTTCGCACACCGAAAAAAAAGCCACAACTGAAAGCGTAGTCGGATTTGGTAAGAGGCAATGTTTCCCACCTCATCAGTCCGTTGTGGCTGAAAGAACCTGAGGAAATCCAAGAGACGGCAACCCAAACGCGCAGCATAGCGCGTTCGTTCGATAGTTATAGTGTGGAGATAGTAACTCGATGTTGTGAGCAGCGTCGGTTCTGTGAGTTAGTTGCGGGCTTGGCGAGTTTATTTCCGTGAAGATAACGTAAGCATGAGAACTAAAACTTTCACAACGGCTTATTCCACTTGGGTACTGACAAATTTTGACGATTTGATCAGGAACGCTAGGCATCTCATGACATAGACACCTACCTGCAAGTGCCAAGTTCGAGAATTCGATAAAGTAATGGCATTCTGGGAGCGAATTCCAATATCGAATGAGAGCCGAGCTTCTTGCCAAGGTATGTCGTGTCGGCGTCATGATTGGGCGTCGATTCATGATAAGCGGCTCTAGATGATAGGCTAAGGCCTTTGTGGCTATCCTACCAACGACGGCCTCGGACGGCTTCTTACTATTCCAACCAAGCATCCTCTAAATCTTCCCATTATATGAAGATCGACGTTAGATGCCTCAAATGCGTGTGTTACCCGTTGGAAAGACCGCAATCGTGCCTTGACTGCGGCAGTCTAGAATTTAGGCTCCCGGCAAGTAGAATTCCCCATGGACCTCCAAAGGCCAATTCTAGACCAAATCGCTCCAATGTGGTGCAACACCAGATGTTATTGTGATCAATGACACATTGTATGGAATAGTAATGAGTGGGCAGTCTCGGAGATTCGGTTTTTCTCTCGCCAGATGTCACAGTGTGCTACAGAATGGCCGTGGACCAAACAATATCACATGTAATAATGCATTCTGGAACGCAAGAGGGGAAGGATGATTCGGGATTTTTTTAACAGTATCAACTGATGATTACGACATATTGGTTGATGTCAGCACCAATCCTGCAGAGCCGTTTTCAAAGTGCCCTTAATTCCCGAAGGCTTAATATATATTGACCGCTCTCTTGCATGCTTTGGTACTGACGTTGGTAGCCGTGTCTCACGCAGCTATGTATGTAAGACCATTGGAACTGTCACCCTAATGACATGGCAAACCATATATGGGTGAGGACGTGTGGTACAGTTCTCCATATTTGGCTGCAACAACGCAAACACAAGAATACATAACCGAAATATAGAAGCTAAAAGAAATACTTCACTGAATTTCGTCAACGATCTTCTACAATGCCGCAATTGATTGTTATGGTAGAGACATGACCAATTGCATTGGTGTCGATAATAGATTCAAATAGAGAGCCAGACTGAGCGAAGATTGACGCTTCGAAATCATATTCAAAGTTCCTTCCAAGGCAGGTACCGATAATCCGTAGAGCATTGGATTTGATGGATCGTTGCCGTTAAGTCCATGACAGTGACAGACAATCTAGGTGCGCCGTAATAAGCGGCTGCCTGTTCATCAAATCTCTGTTTCCTGACGCATGAGCATCGATGATCGAATCCACCAACACGCACGACCTCTAAATCATCCATCAATTGGAGAGGGTGTCGGAGTCGTCAGTCGTGGGCTTTGGTAGTCATGATGCTGATTCCACAGGCGGAAGCCACAGAGCCGTCGTTATATTGCAGGCATACCCCCTTTCGTGCAGGATGGGCAATATCATGAGGCTCATATATAGCGATGCCCGACAACGCTAAGCCCTATTGCGATAATATTAACGAGAGTGCCGACGGGACCGAGTGTGGGTTACAATCCACGTAATATGGGCACGGTTGTCATCGCTATAGGAGACACTCGATTGGTTGTTGTGGGTGCAGGAATGGCTACGTCTGCCAACCCGGCATGAGTTGCAGCTGTAACCATTACAGCGGCTTCCAGGGTGTGTACGAGTAGTTGTAATCATCGTCAGACTAGATTGAATTCCTGCCGGCGCCGCCGACATTAAAGTAGACTAAAGCTCGCCCTGGCTACTTAAGTAAGCACGCGCCTCGTAGGCGCATATGTACTATTTACCGCCCACACCAAGCGCATGTAACATAGCATGAACCATTGAATGTGGTGACTACTAACGTGGTAGAATTAGACGGCGGCGACCCACCCATGCCGTGAGATGCCCGCGCCGTTTTGCCAGCCCGGAGATCTACGATTACAGCCTTCCACGAGTCTGACTGCAACTCATTGGTTTCTAGAGCCCAACTTCTCCCAGACCTTTAGTACCAACACTACGAGTAGGCCAGACTTAGACCCAAGATGTCGAAATATCGTGAATAATCAAGATCTGGGGCTGCCGCCATCAGCTACGCAGCCATTGATGTAAAACGCCATATGCAATGACATCGACACAGTACCTAGCAGGAACCCTATGTCTAGTATTAGTTCATATTTGGCGAACCATCTGGAGTCCTTCGCTGGCTAGCTAATGATAGTGTATTCCTCCTACTTGGTGCAGAATCATGAATTGGGATCTTGAGAAAACCCGAGTCCAGCCTATATGCGCTAAGTAGTTCGACACCATACCATTGCCTCAAGTTAGCTACTGTAACCGGGAAAGATGGGGCGAGATCTCGAGCCAAAAGAGCGACCGCCATACCGAAGGATAGGCTACCTTAGCGTCCGAGCTTGTGTCAGGACCTGGCATTCCTTCTCCCACTCAGCTGAGCAGATAAAAAGAATGTTGGTGAAATCAGGGAGAAAAGGAAGGATCAGGTTGAAAAATGAGTTGCGAAAGACCCTTACGTGTTCATTGTGTTAAGCAAAAGTACCGCTTTAGGTGAGACTAAGTGAGACGAGGGAGATGGACTTTGTCATTGTATAATTACACACCTGAGATACATGTGTACCCTTTTACCCACTCCATGGTACCTAATTTAGCTCCTATATCAGGTTGTAGTCGAGGTTGCATGAAGCAAACTGTACGTTACACTCAGCACAACCAGCACAGCAGACAGACTTGGTCCCTTGCAATAGACGTCTTTATCATACAACATGATACATCTATGCGCTCGCCCGTACTGGATTAGGTAAG